TTTRKAAAAAAAAAAAATAAAAATAAAATAACATTTAGCACGATTGTTGATTGAATTTTGTCTGCAAAAGTGTGATAAAGTGGGAAACACTCAGGTTATATTGATTGCATGCAAACTTCCCACTCTCTATGATAAAAGATTGTTAAAAATATCAATAATAATAATAATTAGAAGGAAACTTACCACCCCCGTGTCCATCTGCTCGGTGGTCAGAGAGGGAGCCGCTCCGGTCAGCGCTGTGAACCACAAAATTGGCACAAAAAGCAACATCTCAGGAGCGATATTCCTCCTCCACTTGTGCAGACCCGGTGAAATCATAGTGCCCTATGACAGGTTGATCCTGCAGGGCTCCGAGACAGACCCAAAGAGCCGCATCCACGGGGTAAACCGCACCGAGCCTCCGGGAGAACGCGCCCGTCTACCTCACTGTTGAGCGCAAACACATAAAGCACATTAAAACCCCGGCGGCGCGCTTGGATTTCACAAGTTTGTCTTTCAGGAGTCATCAACTAAAACAAAAAAAAATTAAAAAAAGGAGCGAGGAGGTTAATCAGAAGCAACAGATTGAGTAGACTCCTAGATGAGGCTGTAGGAAGTCCGCGCGATTAAAAATCCCAGCAGCGAGGCGCGCGGGGTCCGCTCCTGACGGCGCCGCGTCCGGCTCTGAGGAACCGCAGCAGCTGCGTGGGGTTCCGTCCCGAGGAGGAGAGGAGAGGAGAGGAGAGGAGACCGCCTGTCAGCTCTCTCACACACTGAGGAGCGTTGGAACGCTTCAGGGGGAGGTGGTGGAGGAGGAGGAGGGAGGAGGCGAGCCCAGCGCGGCTCCTGTTGAGACTGGTGAATTCATGACGCGCGTCATGCGTAATTTGAGAGTCTTGAGGGGGATATAAGATTAAAACACAATTTGTAGCCTTTGCTGCGTGAAATATGTCGAGTTTAAGCAGCTGGTTGACATTTGTCTTAAACATGAAACAGATGAGAAAAGAAGAAATACATTTTTTGCTCTTAAATAAAGAGAGAGAGAGAGAGAGAGAGAAAGACAGCTTCTATGGTGGAGAGTTTTACACTTATGGTTCTTTTTCCTGGATTGTGCGCCCTTGATGTGGAGGAAGATGTAGTGCAGCAAAGTATCAGCCGGAAAGCCTTGAAACTGTGAAGTACAGCATCAGTTCATCTTTTCATGTGGAAGCTGTGGGGRCTGAAGAGATTAGTCAAACACGCATCACCAGTTTCAAGAGACTCTGGAGCCATAAAGTGTATTTGGGTGCCATGCTGCATAATTTGTTCCATAACAGTTTCTAGTTAAAGTAGTTTGATGTTTTATTTTTAAAATACTTTCATGATGCTCTGATTTTTAGGAATCAGTCCAGACATCCTGAACTTTCCGCAGCCAGAGGAAAAATAGGCAGTTGTTTGATTACATGTTGTCTGTGCAAAGCTAATGCCAGTCCCAGTCTCTTGTTTTTTTTTGTGCGATCTAAAATTTTATTATTTTTAATTTTCTTTGATTGATGCAAAGACAATTCAAAACTTCTCCTTTTCACCAATATCTTATTGGTGAGAAGTCAAAAGCTTTTTTTATTTACAATCAGCATCTTCTACATCCCGTTAGCCAATTTAGTGTCAATTTGTCTAAACCATTTTTTTTCAAATGACACACGTATCAGTACTCCTCACAGTGTGATAATACTGACTTTAGATCAAATACGAGCAGCAGGAATTTAAAGTTTTACATTACAGAGCAAACACCATGTAAAATTAGAAGCTGGGTCACCAAAGAGGAAAAAAAAACTGCATCTGTTTATGTAACATGGAGCTGTTTTACTTTATGTTCCTCATTACACCTTTATTTTTTTTTACCACATCTGAACAAACATCTGAGGAAACAGAGAATTTGCTGAGCAGCAGACATAATTATTATAATAAGAAATAGTGCTATCAGGCAGCAGCTCCTTTTTCTGTATAGAAAATACTAATGAAGTCTTTTTTTTTGGCTGCATGGTTGTAAAATCTAGCCGGTAATGAAAGTACACACTGTAATGATTAGCAATAACTAAGAGCTACATGACCCTATAGTATATTTTAACTATTTAAAAAGGCAGAGCGGTCATGTGATGGAATGAATGAAAGTATTTGAATACATTTAAATAAAATAATCTGAACACGGAGACTCCTGCTTGTTTTGAATTCATCTCCTCCTCATCCTTGGTGAGGAGTGACACACATGCACAAGTGCACACACTTTCAGATCCCTCACAGCAGTCATTTGTCACTTGAGGGGAAAAAAGGAAAGGAAAAAAAAAAAGGATGAAAAACACTTTTTTTTTGCTCAGCAGTGTGAAGTTTTGCAGTGTTTCTGCAGCTTCCAGCCCCAGATAGACCGGCCGCGCAGCTACAACATTACGATAATTGTAGCATCTGAATATGGAGTCTCTCAGCATGCCCGCTGGCAGAAAGAAGCTTCAGTTATTRGCTTTTACATTAAGAAAAGGTTAAAATGGCCATTTCCTCGTCTCACCCTGCTGTGCACATTTTACCTGAAGTGTTTCACTGACTTCYCACTATTTTTCTTGCAGAATTTACCTATGCTCCTGGTTAGATCATATAATTATTCAAATAAAACCCATGGGTCAGCTGGGCTGACGTTAATTTTTTGGTTTACCAAAAAGATTGAAGAGTYTCAATAATTCTTTATCAACACGTGCTGTTACAAAAAGCATTAGGCCATGAGTTGCCAAATTATTAACTTAACTTTTAAATTAACCTTTTGAGTTAACCTAAGAAAACAGATAATCAGCCTAAAACTGGCTACAGTTTAGTCAGTTTTACAGATGTAGAGCTAAAARTGGACGTGACAGTAARTGAGAGTCATCCTAAACTAAWGAGCACTAACAGATCTCATGAAAWCTTTGTTGCAAACTTTGACACACAGACCAGCGGACATTCTAGTTTTATTTCAGCATATAGGAGTATACCATTTCCTAAATTAAAGTTATTACAAATGCTCAAAGCGGGTTGTGCTCACAAGTTTATCGGGAAAACACTGAGGTTGCTATCGAAACACCATTGAATTTGAGTTATTCAGTCCCAATGTATTGTCTCTGGACTGATTCATGTTAAACTGTCCTTTAGGATAATAGATGAGAACTTTAATAACTATCTAAGCCATAAATCAGCTTTTTAAGTTTGTTGAATTTGCACAATTCCAACGGCGTTTTCATCATGACTTCAGCGTTTTACCTACTCATAAATGGCTTATTTCTATATGTTTATCTTTATTTATTTATTTTGATTATGTAATTGTAGCTGCTATGTTTTATTGCGTGTTCAGTTCATGATTTAGTAATAATTGCATGGCATAAATCATTCATATACTGACAGTTTTTATTATGTTTGATTTTATCTGTGCATGATCATTTTAGAAAATGTTCATCAGTGATGAAAAACATCTGGAGCACATCATTGTCCCTTTGTGTGTTTTGTGTAACTGACTATAAATTTCCCCTTTTTTTGTCTATCTGTGCAACCCTGGGATTTCTGCTGCTAATTTGCACATTTTAACATCTGCTTTGATGAGTAACCATGCCAATGGGGAAAATGTTTACTTTGGAAAGCACTTCCAAAAGTCCAGTCCSCACACCAAGACCAATAAAACCATAGTCGTAAATATCTAACTCAAGTGGATGGTGAAGTTCYCACCACATAAATAATGGTGATGTTGGCGTTTGGAGAATTATACTGCCCATTAGAATACAGAGTGAGATGTGACTCCCAATGTGATGAAAGACGGTCGTTAGCAAACCTTTGCTTTAAAACGTTTTAGCGTTAGGATTTATACTTTTCTATATTATATATAAATAGATATTAATAATTTTGTAGGCTGTTTTGTCCAAGTTTAACCAACCCTTTATGCAAGTAAAATATCAGTGCAGATTTAATTTGGGCATATTTCTGATGTGTTTTTTCTTAACTGGGAAAATAATAAACACTTCACTATAACATATAAATGGTGGTAAAGGTTATTCAATTTATTCTGCTTAAAAAAAAACAAGAAAGTTTTACAAAACCAAACCAGAAACATTAAAACTAGCACTGCTGTGTGCAAATATAAGTTTCTTGAAGCAGCAAATAGTTTCAGCTGATGGAAGTTTTGCATGTTTTATGGCTGTTATTGAACCTCCAATATTGGATATTATAATTGGGCTGTATTTTATGGCTGTGGAAAATGATTTTCTCCACCAAAGTGTTGCTTATTTGAAGCATAAAGCAGCATTAGAAGTGTCTCCTCTGTGAATGTGTGAARGCTAACAGTGGAAAGTGTTGGATTAGCTCGTTGTTGTAATGGGGAGGTTGTTCTTAGTTCAGTTTGGGAAACACAAAATGACAGCAGATTTCTACAACTTCAAAAAGTGATTTAAATGTTGAACCATAGTTAAACTGTCAAAAATTAATGTCACTCATTTGCACTGGTATGAATTGATTTGGGTGGGGTTTGTGACTGGTGCCATTTATTTATCAGTCTGTCATTTTGTTGTCAGAAAAGTTATCAGACAAAAAAAACTATTAAAGGTTGGTTTTTTTTACAATATGTGGAAAAAGTGGAACTAAAATAGCAGCGTATGAATTTTTGGAATGAGTGCAAATTACCAAGATGCTAGCTTAATGTCCTTAATGGAGACTGTGACTACTGCATCGATCTGCATCCATCCATCCATCCATCCATCCATCCATCCATCCATCCATCCATCCATCCATCCATCCATCCATCCATCCATCCTTGAAATTCATACAACAGTTTTTCAAAGCAGAAAGAAAAATGACTCCATATACCGTGGTGTTCCCTCAGTCATCCCCCTTAATTAATGACCAGATTATTCCAATTAGGGCTCATTTAGAGGATTTATGGCGGTGCCATGCATTATTCATTACAGGTTGCATTTGTCGTGAAAGAATGCGGGAGGTTTCAGCTGTACCACAATAATTTTCATGTTTAATTCATGAAACTCTTCAGCTGCTTGTGTGTGTTTTTTTCCAAGATGCAAGCTGCCTTGCAGAGTTTTCTGCTAAGAGGTTTTGAATGTGTGAGACGCATATTGATCCTGTGATGTTTTTGTGATTGGTGGCAAACGTATGATTAGACCCTTGATTAAATCTGTGAAAGGCAAGCTGGATCGTGGCACAGTGAGATCTGATTACTGGCTGAGAGTGGGCAGCATGCTGACAAACTACTATTGTATATTAAAGGGTTATCTTGAAGGAAATGCATAATGATCGCCACCTTTTATGTAGTTTTCAAACTTAAGTATTTTATGATGAGCAGGAACAAAGGTTTCACCTTTAGGGCCAAAACTTGTAAATCATGTGTCAAATCAAGGCCTGCGGGTCAAATGTGGCCCAACATTATATTTTGTGTTGCCTGCGACAGCTTCCGAGATACAGCGAGGAAAATAAGTATTGAACACGTCACCATTTTTCTCAGTAAATATATTACTAGAGGTGCTAATGACATGAAATTTTCACCAGATGTCGGTAACAACCCAAGTGATCCATACATACAAAGAAATCAAACCATAAATGTCCAGAAATGAAGTTATTTGTAATAATGTGGAATGGCACAGGGAAAAAGTATTGAACACACTTACTGAAATTTATCTAATACTTTGTACAAAAGCCTTTGTTGTCAATGACAGCTTCAAGACGCCTCCTGTATGGAGAAACTAGTGGCATGCATTGCTCAGG